GACTGACAAATTTCGCCGATAATTGTCCCCTTTATTCGATGAAACTCGATACAAAATTTCAAATTTTATATTCCACCCGAGGAAATAGGTCACAAAATCAGGCAGCTAAAAATAAAAGCATTAAAGATGCACAATTGATGCATTCTTAAGACAATTCGTACGCTTGATTATTATTAACAAACTATATAAATAATAACAGCCTTGTTTGTAAGTTTGAATCATTAAGTTTTAAAGCCATTATATCGAGATTAACGGTAGAACTATCGTATTAATTAAAGTAACTTTTAATTTCCTTACTTTGAAATTACGAATGTTATAATGGTGTTAAATATCTAAAATTATTTATAAAATCAATAGTTTAAGTTACGTAAGATAATGTAGCAGAAACTTACAAAAGTTATTACAGTTTTACTCGGTACTTCCATTGTTAATAATTAAGCCAAGCCTCGACAAAATAACGTCATAGAACCGATTTTTCTCGAGACACGTTCCTGAGGATCGCCTTGACACAGACTCGACGTTCGAATACATAGAGAGCTTGAACCCAGACCTTGGCAGCCCGTGTGGGTAATGCAAAGTATCGTTTCGGCCTGGCCAAGTTGGCCAATATGGGCCAAATTGGGGCGCGCGCGTCGAAACGCGGCTCAATCGACCGAGAAATCGATACGAGTTCCACAGACAATGGTAAAACAAACGAGAAAATCGCTATCGATCATTGAACCATTCCGCTATCAGCGAATGACTTCCGTTCGAAGGATCCAGAAGTTTCTAGATCGACGATTCAATCGCGTCGCTCGATTCGAACATATCGATATCATCGTCTTTAATCCTTTACCGTGTTATAACGTTTGAAACTCGTAGTAAAGATTTCTTAATCAGTTTAATTAAAAGTAATGGTATTTATTACATACGGTTCGAAATGAATAATTATTTTTCTATTATGAATGATATATTAATTGATAATTAACGTATAATTAACGTATCAAAATAACATTTCTTCTGCAGCTTTATATTTAAAAAAAATGAAATAAGAAAATTATTGTATAGGATATTGAAATGTTATTATGACATCATTTTTATTCGAAATATTCAATATACTTTAATATAAAGATGAAAATTCGTATAAAAATACTAGTAGCTTGCTACGTTATACCAACATTGTCTTCGAAGGGTTAAATTAACTGTACACCTGCAACCAGAAGAAAACTGTCTTGCACCTTTGTAAATTTTTAACAGTAACATATATCTAACCGGCTTAATTGCGAAGAACATCGTGCAACAAGGAGCTAAGTCCGACTCGAAGCTTCAAACCAAACCAATAGAGTAATTACTTTTCAGCGGGCACGTTAATTTACGACCTGCCGTAAAATCCGCGGGGCTTTCCGATTGCGTCGACGCAAAGGTCGGCTCGTCGATTCGACGAAACGAGCGCGCGGGCTGGTTCGAATCTTTTTAACAATATCGCCGGGCCATCTTTGTTTTGTGGGAGACCCGTTGAGCGGCCACGTGTGCGGCGAGTAAAATCACTCGTAAGCTAAAGGATTTATCGTATCGAAACGCTGTATCAAATTTATACATTCACGGTTATCGTAACACAGAACATAGTGAATAATCTCTCTTTGCAATATCCACTGTCGGTCAAAATAAAAACTTCCATGTTTTGTAGAAAAGGAACATGAATATATTAGTCAAATATAAAGGTATATATTTTTTGTTATTTTATTTTATAAATTTGAGATACATCATTTTTGTTATGTTATTCTATATATTTATAAGATATACAATTTTTCATTTGCGACGTTACGTGTGAAGTAGTCCCAAACTTTTTACCGGAAGTGTATACTCCTCTTTTCACTTGTGTACTTCTATTTTTTACTTGAACAATTTTCTGTCTGGTCTCGTGTAAACTTTCTCCCTGTTCACACATTCCTCAGTCTGTGCTCATTATCTTCTTCCACACTACTGATAAACTCTTTTCTTTTTATTTAAATTATCTCCTTCTTTTACTGCTGCACCCTTATCTTTTTTTACTCGAACTGCTTTCCGTCTCCGTTGATGACAACTTTCTCTTCGGCTCGTACGCTTTTCGTTCTGTGCTCGTGCTCTTTTACCACAGAACTGACGTGTCCTGTGCTTTTTATTTATACACACTTGTTCCTCTACGTAGGAGCTTCCCAGCGGCGAGTCGCGTTACGATTATTGCCTGAAGAATCGTCTTAACAAAGTTGTGCAACCCGCGGTACGATAAACACACTCGTAACGAGCATGAGCCCCTTAACTCGCACCGGTGTGTATCGTTATCTCGAGACGAGCGATAAAAATTCGTCGTCCGCCGCGATAACCGACCAAGGGAAAAGACGAAGTTTCCACGGGAGGATTCCATTACTTGGAAACGTTATCCGGTCACGATAATTCCTCTTTTTTCGGAGCCGTTGCGTCATTTCGGAAGAAGGGAGATCGTTATCTGATGGAACTCGAATTTCGTTGTTTCGGTCGATGATCAAATCGAGAGAAAAAAATGATCTACTGCAATGGTTTCCAAAGTTTATGTTGCTACGCCCCCTTAAAAATATCTAATCTCGACGTGATAATGCTTTAGAAAATAAGATATAAAATTTAATTTCTGTTAAACTCTTCATGTGTTACGGTATGGAAATCGCTGATCTACGAAGATTCTGATATCTTCCTTGTAATATTGAGATCGATCTTTATCATTTGCCACGCTTCCGGAAATTTATGTTACGGCTGAACAAATTTCTGCTAATCTTTAACTGACGAACTAGAAACTCAGAAATTCTATGGATCTTCGTTACATAATAATATTATTGTATTTGATATACATAAACTTTTAGTTTTACAAAAGATATTACTAGGTAAGGGGAAAGTTTGATTAAGGCTTAACTAAATTCAGTTTTAATGATCCTCGAACACCAGTTACAAACGTGAAAGAGAAAAGTTTCACTTCCTTACCAAAATTTATCGAACCACTGTCGCAAACATCGGAATAAATTCGTGGAATGGGATCAAAGCAGGATTAACGTTTAACAAAATTCTGGGCATCCATTTGGACAAGATTATCCATGTATAAATATCAACGAAAATCCTTGAATCGATATTATTGCAGACAAGATTAAATATCTTGCGCGGTGACTCATGGTCGAGGCGTTTAATGCATTGCGTTTATCTGAGCAGGATAAAAGGATAAAAAAATCGCAATAAGGTCTATGTAATATAAACTTCTAACATTATCAATCAATGGGAAGGATCCCCTGTTTCTCACAACATGCTGTCCTTTCCCATCAGTACTGTCTTACCCCCATTTCTGTTACTTTCTTTATGACCGAGTCATATAAAATAACGCATCACTGCTATTAAATCATTATTTATTGCTCGAACCGTCTCCCATGGTTTATGAGAGTTCCAATTCGGAAAAGTCACCGATGTGTTAACACATGATCAACTAATGGGAAGGATCCCATTTTTCTTGACAACGCGTTGTCCTTTGCCATCAGCGCTTTCCTCTTTCCCTGTTACTTTCATTACGCTCAAGTTACATAAAATAACAAACCACTGCTATTAAATCATTATTTACTGCTCAAGCCATCTTTCATGCTTTATGAGAGTTTCAATTCGAAAAGGTTACCACAGAACTGCAAAAATCCCACCGACTGGCAATGTCTTAACACATTATCAACTAATGGGAAGGATCTCTCATTTCTCTTGTCAACGCATCTCCTGCCATTAGCGCTTTCTTTCCCCCTTTTCTGTCATTCTCTTCATCGTCGAGTTATATAAAATAATGAACCGTTGCTGTTAAATCATTATTTATCGCTCGAATCATCCGCCATGGTTTACGAGAGTTTTCATTCGAAGAAGTTTGAATCGCTTGCAAAAAACGCGCGATGGTCGACGTATACTTAGACACACTAACCGCGATGTGTTCAGCCTTTGGCATACACCGACGGATCGACGCGGGTTCTCGAAACGTCGATTCATTTTCCGCGGATGATACGATCGCGCAAATGGCGGCGCTCGACCGCGTCCCGTTCAAGAGCCGCGCCGCTGAAGAGCTGAGCGCTCGCCAACCGAAATCACTGCCAAGTGAATCGCGCCGCAATCACGGAAGGCGGAGGGGTGGAACGAGGGAATAAAGAATCCGAGCTTACAGGCGAGTCCGGCCAAAATTTCGCGCAGTCAATAGCTGCGGATAGAGACCGCCATAGCTCTATATTCGGTAAACGTTCTCGAGTTATCTAAACATAGGCCGGCCTCGACCAGAATAGACTCCGTGTCTGTCTAGCACCATTAACGCCAAAAACCTCCGCGCGTCTCTTCGAACAACAATTTCCTATTCGAACCGTCGAAAGTATACAACGGTACCGATCTTATGTGTTCACGCTGATTCCACGTGAAGTAAATACATCGCAGGAAGTTTGAAGTGATCATTCCAGATTTTGGAATTTGTGGGAGTATTTTCTATATGTTTGTGCTTTACTTCGCCTTGTTTATTTGGCTATAATTTTGATGTAATTCCATGGGGAGAGTGTTGTTATATGTATAGAACGCAATTTAGGGATTATATTGAAGTACTGTAGATAGTATTTTCGTTGATGGAGACAGCGAAATTGCGATGAATTGCGGCAGAAATGATATAGTAGGGGTTAATATATGAGTTATCTTTATTGTTAGGGACATGCTAGATATGCCGTAAGAAAATTGTATTCTATTGATGGATCTTCTGAGAAAATACCATTTATTAAGTCTTTTGACGTTTTGTAAGAATCTTATTTACTGGATTTACTTTATCATGAATATATCTTTATAACATCATATCTGAAATTCAATATATTCCGCCGGTTTGGTGTTCGATAAAAGTAACACAATATTCAAACATAATGCCGACGTAGTTCAATTTCTAAATAATCTAAGTAATTATAATGTAGTTATTAATTTGATAAAACCATTTCTTTACTCATCATTCCCTCTTGTTTCTGTTACAGGTAAGCGATTTTCCTTTCTTCAATCTCAGAATCGAAACGGCGGTGCAACCATAAAATCCTTCCCACGAGTAAGTAGATTTAATGGAAGACGCGAACCAACAGGTTCTCTTCGTTGATTCTCGTGAACGTCGAAGCGCGTCAGGTTTCTCAAAGTGTATAACCCGAGTCCCGAGTGACGCCATTTTACGAGCAGTCGCGCGCGTGATGCATCCACCTTGGAACACGGAAGGAACGATTTATTGCTGCGTGTGATTAGCGTGGCAGAAAGTCGGTATCGCGACAGAAGATCCCAACTGATAAAGTTTATAGCGCGGCGGTGTCCCCTCGTGAAAACGCTTTAAACGCCGTGTCGCGCGGTACACGCGTTTTATGGCGTCGCGTCGTGTACGGCACGTGTCGCCTGATGTTTGCACGTTCGACGGCCAATCGACTTCCTTGTTGACTGACTGAACGGGAATGCGAAACGGGCCGACACGGTTCTCCCGCTTTTCCGCGCCACGACTATTGCCAGGCTAGTTTACACTACAAGCTGCATAAAGTAAAACCAGTCAACCCCTGTTTTGTAATATTGTATCAGGCTTATAAGAATTGAAGTCGAGAATTACAAAACAGCACAGGTATACTTTTTAACGTTATCTATATGAGTTATTGATGTAACCATTTTCAAGTTACTTAGATTTATTTAATAATATTAGAAGTGTATACGTGATAAAGATGTGTGTGTAGCCGACGCTTGCTTGCAACAAGGATGAACAAGGTAGATAATGACCGAACGAAGGTGAAAAGTGCAAGCTTCGTGCTTGCGATGAATAGAAAATTTCATTCTGTCTTCCTCGTGAATTATTGATAGTATAATGAAGTTAAAGAACGTAGTTAATTTTATAGTTTCGAAGAAAATTGTATAATACAATGAGGGGTTAAGAAACTTCGTTGCTAAGGTTTTAACAGTAGAAAATTTTAAGTTCTTCTAACGTATTTCTTTATGTTTTTCTACTATGCACACTTCTTATTGATATTTTTCATTCTTGTACATAGTTATATGTGTATAAGAATGTTTTAAACAGAAATGCCTTATATTATCAACTTCCTCAAGTTAATTGAAATAGTTTCCGCAGAAATTGATATAGTTCCCTATTTTATACAAGATAAGTCGGATATGAATCATTTTATAAAAGCCTAACGGACGAGTGTGGAAAAACTGGACACTTTCCAAGAGATTACAAGCGAAATCGATTATTTTCCAAGCATTCGATCTCCTTTCATCGCATAAGACACGGATTCGTGTTCGGAATCGCTGACGCACGACGTTGCGGGCGTTGAACTCACTCGTAAATATTTCGGTGCCGGCGTCTTAGACTGTCTTTCGAGTCAGAATTTTCCAAAGTTGTTCATCATTTCGCATGCCCGCTTCTCGCGTCCACGGGTGTCGCGTTTTGGGCGTTGCGCGGTGTCTCGGTTTCAAAATTAATTCGAAAGTTATCGATAATGTTGTCGTCAACATCCCGATCGACGAGGCTCAACCGTTGGCAACGCATGGCGCGGTTGTTACGAATCTGAATGCAATTATTTATCGGCCCGTGAAAATAGAATGCTCGCGGCCGCGCTATATATAATCGGCGGGTGACAAATTCGAGCCAGAAACACGAATTCGATGTAGCAATTAATAATGACGAACGAGCCAGCTGTGTATGCGCCCTCGTGTTCGCGCGCCCTTCGAGTTTAGTCATCGCGCGGACACGGGTTAATATCGACGGAGGACGAAATGCCGAAAACAACGTAAGAGGATTGCGAAAGAGAATGTAATTTATTCTCAGAACCCGCGAATCTTGATTAGTGTACGTTAATTAACGTTGTGCCGACCGTTAAGTGATCTTCGGCTTCGCATACATGTTATTGGATTCTATGTTAATGAGTAATGGATAACAGATTATAAACTAGTATTAATATAATAACGTAAACAAAAGAGAGCTGAATAAAGCAGATTGCACACTTCGATGCAAGTGCCATCTTTTAAGATTCAATTTTCAAGGACTACGGTTGAACAGTAGTTTACTTTTGCAATTGTGAGCTTCATCGACGCAACATTAATGAAATCTACAATCTAACAATAATAGCTAACTTGTATCAAAGAAAATACATGATTCATTGCAGTGATGTCATTAGAGCGTTTCACGGAAGAGTTACATTGAATCTTTCTAGCGTTTGCACAATCGAATAATCCATAAGCGCGTAAGATAGATTATAGGTTTTGCAACTGTACACAACGAGCGAACGGCGGATGATTATGTAAATTGATTTTGAAGGATTAATTTACAGAAACTAACATTTCATTTACTGAATAAAATTGCAAGATCTTTCTACTCTGTTAAACTTGTTAGTACTCTGATCGCAATAAATGCATGAAATCTGCATTTCTATCTGCAATCTAACGAGGAACGAACATTACAATCATTAATGGATATAATATTAAGTAGAATGTTCGGTACAATGGCCAAGTAAAAAATCCACGATCACGATTGAGATATAAGAATGACAGCATGGTTAGCCAACTAATTCTTCCTTCGTGCACCACAGAAATCCCTGGAAGCCCGTTGTCGTATTTCTGCCGTTGAAGCTCCGAAAGCTGTCCTCATGGCGGGCATTATCTCTTGTCTCGACCGTCAAACTTTACCCCCGTTCTTTTGTTTCGCCGATCCAATTACAAAGGGTGGCTTAAAGCGGAAAGCGCCATGGGAAACCATAGGAAATGAACGATTCCTCTGTCACTGGTCTTGGTTTTACGAACTGCTCGAAATGTCTTCACCGCAGCGAGTTCCTCGACAATTCGAAACTCGGTGGTCAGCGACTGACGAACTACTGCTAGACGAATCTGACCTGTGTACCGGGTGTCTCATACAATTACTGCAAATTTCAACTCCTAGAGAACTGTTCGTTTTTCACTTCGTAGTTTGCGTCAAGGTTATTCGATTCAATTGTAGTTTAATATAATACTTTAATCGTTTGGTCAAAAATGATTGGGAAGTACTGAAGTGATAGTTTTATATAATATAGTTATGACAAAAATTGTTAAAATATATATTGGAATAAAATGCTCAGTCTGTTTCGATACACGATCGCAAAGACCCATGAAGTGATCTGTTAGAACTAATTTATCGTATACTAATTTTATTTAAAGTAGCATATTCTCGTGACATCGCTATACTTCTTTAAACCTTAACTCTGCGAAGAATGTCGCCATGTTGGTATCAAACTTTCATGTCTGGGATACAGAGTTGCAAACGAATAATTGAATTATTCAAACAACGAAAGACAAGTACATAGTATCCTTCTTTTCTGGTATTCAAGTGATATATAATTTAACATCCTCGGGTAAAAGTACTGCTTTAAAAGCGTCTTCGTCCGCGAAGAATTGATTCGAAGACTTTAAACCAAATGACAGTTTCCCAGGGGAAGAGGTTCCAGCGAGAAACATTTGCGTTAAAGATATTTACGTGGAAATTTCCAGTGTAAATGGGAAAGGGTTGATCGTGAGATACGGCACCGGGTATCCGGGTTAGATGACGCGGCGCGAGCGCGCACGGGGGCCGAGGAGCCGAGGAGCCGATTGTTAGAGCTCCACTTGGCAATGGTGCCGGAGTTTTTGCTCCGAATATAAAATTAGGTCTGTTCGGGCCGCGTGCGGGCTGGGATCTCGTAGAGCAGGGGACGCAAATAGATCACAGTTAGAATGCGGCACGTCTTATTCACACTTACGTAAACAGGTCTCGAGAACGCGTCGCTCGAGGTGAGCTTGCGTGGCTCGCCTTCGTTTCGTCTCGTCTCTTCGCGTCTCGACTCGGCAAGGGTTACGCGACTCTTTCGAGAAACTCGACTCGTCTGCGTGGAACTATAAACAAAATAATCGAATTTCAAAACTCACGAGGCTCAATAAACCTGAATTATCTTCTTCTGTAATGAAACAGATGAAACGATATACACCATTGAACAGAAATATTTCAGTAAATACAATTTTCCAAATATTTTACTCCTAAAGAAACTTTCACGCGAGTTAATTACACTATTGCTAAAGTCGAACTCTCTTACCTGAAAACATAAAATACAATTTAGCCTTTGCTGTTATTTTTGGAAACATTCAAAACCTTCTTTATAAGAAGCTATATTATATGTCAAACTTTCACATACTAAAACAAAAGGAAGCTATTCAATTTATTCGTTACTGTAAATAATTAAATTATTCACTCTCAATTTTAGAATCTATATACGACAGAACAATATCAATACAGCGACATTCATAGTCAAAGGGTTAAATTGTCATGCACATAATAGGGAATACCGGAAACATGCTACCTAAACCTTCGTAGCAACGTAAGAGGAAACGACGTCGAGTAGCGTTAATGGATTCCCGATTTGTTAAGCGAGCAAACAGTTTTTTTCCCACGGATACCGGAAACGTTGATGTATACCGTATTTTAGGGCGGGGCGGCGGGCGGGATGTTCCGCAGACCCGGAAGCTTTTAAGGAACGACGCGCCGATGGGAAGTTTCGATACCGGGAACATTGGTATCGCGAGGGAGCACGGAAGCGGTCGAAAGTTGCCGTTTATAGAGCCGGTCGGTGCGCGTTCCCGGTGCACGGGGTGCGTCCGTTGCATGAGAAGAAGGTATCGATCGGGCCCGTGTCTTGGAAACCTTTTATTTTCTTTTCTTCTTGCCTCCGTTTCCCCGTCGGCCGAGTCGTATCCGCGACGGCGGCGGCGGCGGCGGCAGCGGCAGCGGCGAGCGTGGACGGGATTGATCCCGTGACTATTTTTTACTCCCGAACGCTTCAAGAACTTCGAAACCTCCCGCGGCCGTTTCCTTCGACTCCATTTTTATGTTTTAATCCCCCTGTCCCTGGGCTTTCTTCGTGCACGAAATAAACTTTCATCGAAAACACGTTGGAAGTATAGATTCCAGGACTCATAGCGCTCCATGGATTTATTGATTGGATCGGTTCGAGGGCGTTGACTCGTTGAATCATTGGTTCTTTTTTGCGGTTTTTTTCTGATTACTTGAGTATTTCTTAGTAG